CTGTCATATGATCCATCCTTCTGATTAGCAAGGAGGAGTGAATGGCAGAAAGGTAATTAAGAATATGCATGTTTTTCCATGCGGAAAGAGTAAGGAAGGATCAGGATCTATGTGCAGTTATGGGCAAGTCCCCACCATATGGGAACTGTGTTACTGCACAAAAGATAATGTATCTCATATAGCTCAATTTTCTGCCTGCACTTGTATTAACCATTTTACAGAGAGGAGCAGCAGGATCATTTGTGATCCACCTGACAATAATCACAGGGATGAAGCCCTTACCAGGTCAGCGAGGTTTGGCTGGTTCCCGCCCATGAACAGTCGATTTTTGCCAACAGCTTTCACCCACTCATTAACTGCTTCATACAAATCTTCTCGGACATCATCTCGAAGCTGGTGTCTGCATAAAGAGAAGAATCAGTTTGAAGACACAAGTTTGTTTCTTTTTTTAACCTTCTATCACCTCTCACCTTATGGGATGGTCTTGGTTTGCAAGTAAGGGCAGTACTTCAGAGGGAAAGGGCAGTCAGTAATTTAATAGTGGGTGAGTAGAGGGGTTCAGTAACTCCAGTTACAGAAGTACAGTTGTTACTCACAGAGGATTAAATGGTTCAGTTTAAAACTCTGAGGTTCTGCCCTTTGACAGCTGGAGTTTACAGCTAAGGAGGCACTATTTCTCCTCTTGTGGACTTGGTGCTTAGTGATACCAACCTTTTCTTCAGCCTCTTGCTTACGAAGAACATGGCAACAGCCCCCACGTATTTGGCAAAGAGACCTTCCAAGGTGCCAAACTTCCCCTCACGGACAATGTAATCAAAGGATGCCAAGGCTTCTTTGGGGGTGCGGTAAACATTGGGGGAGATGAGGTGAACAAGCCAATCATCTGCCCATTTTCTCCACTTCATTTCTTCCCTGCGAGCAGTCAAAAGAAAGTTTTCAGTGAACGAGGTTAATACAGATAGAAGAGCTACAGGAGGCAGGATCACAGTTGCCCTAGCCAGAGACCCTTCCAAGATCACTCTTACCCAGGTACTCTGCTGACCTCTCTAAAATGCACTCAGCATCATTATCTTTGGCAAGACTCCTCCAATCTCAAACTGAATTTAAAACTAAGATAGAGTATTAAGTTCTCTGCCCAATATGAGAAATAAAGCAGGAAGTGAAACTTTCCCTCAATAGCATTCCTCTGTGGCACAAAGGAAAGGCCAAGAAAGAAAGTCTAGGTAGCTGAAGGCCTGTGTGACCATGGTGGTGGTAACTAAGCTAACAGTTTGGAGAGCTCAGAAACTGAAGAGACCTTACACTCTCACTTCTTTGACAGGATAGACTCTCTTGGTCTCCTTCTCATCCAGCATGAGCCAGTATTTATTCTCATACTCAAGCACCTCCTTGCCTTGTTCAGTCACCGTTTTAACAGCTGGATAAAAGGACACAATTTCTTCTAAGCTATTCCTCCTGTGAAAAGAAACACAGTTAACACTGATCTGGCTCTTACAAAAAAGGAGCAAGAGCAAAGGTCAGATTGAAAGATACACACTATAACATGTATTATTCTAAAAGTGCAAAATGTTCCAGATCCTATTTGGAAAAGAAAGAGACTGGAACAGCTACTTGCAAATAACTATTATTAGTGCACATACCTTTGTCTGTGGCAGAACAGAAATTTCTGCAGGCATAAAATTTCCTACCATTCTCAAGCAGACCTAAAGAACAGGCCATAGGCACAGCAATGGCATTTCATTCTAGGTATCATAACTGGCTAATTGTAAGCTTAGTTCCAGGACTAACACTAGTCCATATTTAAGTAGATTTTGTGCAAACAAAATCTCACGGATGAGAAAGTACTTCTGAAAGGTACAAGCTTTGCTTTACATCACACACATCACAACATATATAGGCCCCACCCAGGTGCTTATCACAGCCAGGCTCAGGTCACGCAGAGCTTCAGAGCCTGAGGTCAGCAAGAGACTTACAGCACACTCAGAGTCTTCTAAATCTCTACTTAACCTGGGCCTTCCACATTCAACTCTTCTTTCATCACCCTGTTTTCTTACCTGGAAACAAGATAGGTCTTTATTGCACTGATTATCACCGAGGAGTCGTTCAATTGCTGAAAAACAGGATTAAAGCAACAATTTAAAAGAAACAGGTTAAATTGAAAAGGAAATTCTTCAAAACCTTTTCCCCTGAATACTGAGGCTCCAAGTCAGGGAGACTTACCAGAGGGCTCCCAGCATTAGCTAGCAGGATGGGCACCTTTCTGTAGGAAGAGAATTTGATCTCTTTCCTCATGATTGGGTTCACTTCCACAATTTCATAGGGTAGTCCATGATAATCAAGAAAAGCTCGGACTTTGCTGCAGAAAGGACACGTTTTATACTGGTAGAGAGTGAGCTGCAGGCTCCCTGCAGGCAGCTGGGGAAGAAAGAAAACAGAAGATTCCATTTTCTGCTAAAAACATAAATACAACCCTCCTTCCACCCTTATTTCTGTCTCGAAGGTTCTGACATTCAGTGTCAACATCTGATCATGAGCATATCTTGGCTACCAGATGCTTTCTTTAAATGGCATCAAATGTTTAAATATTCACCATTCATTGGGACCAATAACTCTCTACACATCTATTTAATGTGCTGGAAACTCCTATCCACAGCCAGGAAAAAATATAAGCTAAATCAAGACAGTTTACCCCTTTATGGTTTCTATTCTGTAAAACAGAATTTTATAAAAAAACACAACCATTTGCAGTAATATTAAAATAAACAAAAATAAAGCCTTTACAAGACAATCCCACCCCCACAACAGCCTCTGTTGAGACCACAAAGTGGGGAGAGCAGGGTTTGCATTTGATTTTAGGCATGTGTCTGCTCAAATTCATATTCCTGGGATTAACCAGCCTGGGCACAAGTGGGACAAGGCAGGGAAAGCCCAGGGCGATCGGAACATCAGTTACGGGATGTTTCGCAAAGCTGCTACACCTCAGCATCCTGACAGGCCGTGCCTATCATTCCTCACACATTAAAGAACAAATGCAGTCACCCCGCTTTGTTTCTCATTTACAATTTACTGGGTTACACAACCCTGCGAGGGTGCTAAGAAAAAGCAACAACAGAAAAAGCTCCACACCCCCAAGGAAGCCCTCACTGAGAGCTCCTCAAGGAATGCTCTGCCAGGGGCCTCCCAGACCATTTTAAGCTGTTCCCGCACTCAAAGCGGGGCAGAAGGAGCCGCTCGGTCCGCGGGGAGCCGCTGTCCCCGGGGTCCCCGCGGCTCGGGGAGGGCCCGGCGGGGATCAGGGGAGCCGGCGTTACCTCAGCGGCCGAGTGCTCCCGCAGGCGCTGCCGCGCCGCCAGGCACAGCCCGGCGCTGCCGCCCAGCGCGAACGCAGCGCCCAGCGCCAGGCGGCCGCCGCCGCTGCTGCCTCCCCGTCCCGCCGCGGTGCCGAAGGCTCGTCCCGGGGCCCGCAGCCGCCAGGCTGGCGGCAGCAGCAGCGCTCCGACCCGCCAGACACGGCCGGCACCCGCCATCTTCGGCTGAGGGCGGGCGGAGAGCGGCCGCTCCGCCCCGGGCACCGCGGCACCGCCCCGGCACGGCCGCGGCTCGGGGCTCGGGCTCGGGGCTCGGGCTCGGGCATGGCAGCGCCGCGCCCCTGAGGGCACACCCCGCACGGGACGCTCGGCACGGGGCGGAACCGCTGCCCTGCAATTATCAAATCTGGGAACGCACCAGAGTCTAAAGTGGGAGTAAAACAATCGGTTAAAAGGGTGAGGGAACTGGGCCTGTTCAGCCGTGAGAAAAGGCAGCTGAGGGGATTTTATCGATGTCGATCAGTGTCTGCAGAGAGGGGGCACAGAATGGATCAGGCCGTGGCGCCGAGCAATAGAACAAGAGGAACTGGCAGGAGCTGGTGCACCGAAAGTTCCACCTGAACATGAGGAAAAACTTCCTTCCTGTGCAGTGATCGAGCCCTGAACAGGTTGCCCAGAGAGGGTCTGGAGTCTTCCTCACTGGGGTTATTCCAGAACTGTTTGGACACTGTGCTGTGTGTGCTGAGGTGACCCTGCTTGAGCAGGACGGTGAGACCAGATGACCCACTGTGATCCCTTCCGACCTGATCCCTTCTGGGATTCTGTGGTTCTCTGCCCAGTGGGGCTGTGGAGTCTGACCAGCACATACCCACAATGCAAGTGCACATATCCAGACTGAAAGTCATCAGCTGTTTTAGTAACATGTGGTTACATCCATTAATTACATTTATATTCAATTTATCTATTTGGGGCGCAACATGAGCCTGACCCTGCAGCGCAGCAGGGTTATTGCCCACAGAAAGGAGAGGTGGCTGCAATGTTAAATGAGGACACGACCTTTTATTTTGTCTTTGTCCCAAATACCCAGTTAATAACAGAACCATTGATCTCAGGAGCACTGCTTGAATCAATGTTCTAATTGTAGGTTATTTTCATCCCAGTGTCTTCTCTCCCGGGAATGAAAACACACTGAGGTGAGGCTGACACCAGGTCAAAGACACGGAAGGCAAAGTGAATCGTGCTTGTTCCTTCAGGGAAGGAGTGTCAAGGTTACCTGAGGCTCGTTCAAGCCGGCTAGTGGAAGAAGCAGAGCTGGGAGTTCAGCAGCAGAGCCGTAGCCGGGACGGGATGGCCCGCACGGACAGAATGCAGATTTATCCATAGGGAGCATCACTTGTGTTGGGAAAGAAGTACTTAATGCTGATGGTGGCCCCTAAGTGGGGGAGTTCGGGAGGACCTGAGGACATTTGGGAAGGGCAAGGCCACAGCCTAGCGCTGGGCACGCGTTTGGGAAAAATCCCCGAGGAACGGGGAAAGTTGCGCTGACCGCCGGTGCCGCCCCTGCCCAGCGCTGCTCGCCGCGCCCGCCCGCGCGTCTGCGGCCCGCGCCCTCCGCGCTAACCACAGAGTTTGCCGCGGCGCCAGCCTGCGTGACGCGCAAGGCACCCTGCCCTCCCATTGGCTGAAGGCCCCGCGCGTGCGCAGGCGCGCCGTGCCGGAGGTGCGGAGGCGCGGGCGGGCGCGGCGGGATGGCGGGGCCCAACGGAGACCCGCACGTGTTGGGCGGCGGCACCGGCGACGAGGGCGACGAGGGCGGGGACACCTTCGAGGAGGAAGGTGCGTGCGGGAGAGCGGGGCCGCCATCGCGGAGGGGATCTCGTGGCGCAGGATGGCCTGGCCTGACCCCCCATGGCTGCGGGTGGCAGAGCGCAGGTGTGTCCAGATGTTCTGATGGGAGCGGTGCCCAATGCCAGCGATGCACCCACTGCACGGCAGTGGGGCTGAGGGGCTGCAGGGTTTGATTCCCACCCAGCCGTGGGGCACCGAGCTCTTGCGTGTTGCCCTGGGATGGATTTTTTCTTCTGTGAAAAAAATATTTTGTGCCTTTGCTGGTGTACGGGCTGCGGATATCAGGAAAGAGGATGTTCAGGTTTCGAAATCACAGGGCAGATCATGTGGGCAGATCTGGGAGAAGTAGTTATGCATTAATGCGGCTTGGCAAGTTCCACCCTGGAAAAGCTTGGGGTATTTCTGCAGTGCCTGGGTATACCGCTTCTGTACTGCCCTGTCTGGTTAGAACCAGCCCATGGAGAAGGTGAGACGACAACGGAGCACTAATGTGGACGTAGAGGTCACTCTTAAAACTGGATTTCTTTCAGAGTAAGCACTTTGCTACTCTTCTGTTGAGAAGGGCAGAGCTGGGTTCTGCTGTTTCCCAAAACATTCTGTTTCCAGATGTGACCCACACAGGTGATTTTAGGAGTTATGTCTGGGATCTAGCTGCAGTGACAGGACAATAATTTCTGCCCTGAAACACCCCAGGAGCTTTCACTGCTTTGCATCTTCACAGTGATTTGTATTTCATATTTTTTGAAGAGCTAAGAGATATATTGGATGTGATGGAGAAAGTCACTAAATTTGATCTACATCCTAACTAACTGGGCTTTGTGTGCAGTAACTGGTCATAAAGGGCAGCAGCTGTTTCCTGGTCTAGTGGGGCTGAGGCTATGGATCCCTTCCTTGATCTCAAGTAGGAAACCTTATTTTTGCCAACTATTCTTGTAAGAATGTAGAGGAGTTAATGCAATTGCCATACTCCTGCTCAGCATTTCCAACAGGGACATGGTTATGTTTCCACAAAAATCCACCAAGCTTGCAACTAACAGAAAACAATGAAATAAAAGGTTTTTGCAGCTTATTTTTAAATTATTAAATTATTTTCATTTCCCAAAGCTGCAGAAATTATATAACCTTCATTTGAGTTTTAGGCATGGAGAAAATTAGGCTTCTGCTGTGATGAAAGGCTTCTTGCCAAGCTGATGAATGTCCCTTGCCAGAAGTAGTTACCATGTCTGCTGGGATCTGCTCACCATTTCACTGGAATATGGTGCATCAAATTGAAGAGCTGTAACTCATGTACCTTGAAAAATGCTGATAGTTTTAGAAATACTGATATCTGGCCACCTTTTTGGAAAGCATGTGTTTGTGGGATTGATTTTTAAATGCAGGAACACCATCAGTGCTCCTGCTCGTAATGCCACCTCTATGTAAACCTACAAGGCCAAACTTTTATTAATGAGCTCAAATGCAACATTACACAATTCTCCAAAGAACTAAAGGCTGCAACACTCTGAACAGCTCCAAAGTGGTTATTAGAAAAGAAGGATAATTATTTTTTAATGAAACTTCTTAGCTATTAATAATGCAAATTACTTCAATATTTAAATATTCACAGTTATTTTTAAAGCTGCTGGAAATGGCAGTGCCTGGACCTGGTGTGCTGTAGCACCAGGACACCCTGGCAAGGCCTGTGGCTGCCTGTTTGTGTGTGAGATCTGGGGCTGTCAGATGTGCCCACAATGGGTTTGGACTGCCCAGGTACCTTGCCTTAGATCTTGTTGCCAGTGTTTTAGCTTCTCATCGGCCTAATTAGATCAGGGAACACAGTACATGCAGGATTCAGTTGTATTTTAGTTCACCCACCCTGGGGCAAGTAAGACACAGCCAAAATGCTCACAGGCATGTTTTGCCAGAGCTCTCGCTGCCTGCTCTGAGTGCAGTGACTTTGTGCTTACATTGTTCAGTCTCTCATTTCCCTTGCTTTTAGAATATGCAGCAATAAACTCCATGCTGGACCAGATCAACTCCTGCTTGGATCACCTGGAGGAGAAGAATGATCACCTCCACATCTGCTTGAAGGAACTGCTGGAGTCCAACCGCCAGACCCGGCTGGAGTTCCAGCAGCAGAGCAAGCAGCTGAACACAGGAGCTGATGTGCAGGGATCCCAGCCTCCTGCCTAGGGTCTGACCACACACTCTCAGCTGGTGTTGCTAAGTGAACAAACAGTTCCTGGTCACCAATTTAATGTAAAACTTGAATAGCAGAGGTGCCTCATGTCAGTTACTTGTTCCTTTCTGTATTTGTATCCTGCCATTCATCTCCATGTTGTGTTTTCCTTTAGCTGTGAGACAGATGCAGAAGCACAAGGGTGTGTGTAGGGGAGCTGGGTCTTTCTGCTTCCCAGCATGAGCCTGGCACTCACATTTGGTTAAAGCTGGTTGTAGGAAACCTGAGCCCATGCAGGTAGTTTGCAGGCAGGCCCTCTTCACAGAGTGGAAAAATTATCTCTGCTCTCTTTTCCTTAAATCCAAGCAAGAAGCATTATGGCTCTTACCCCTTTGGCAGGGGCTGTTCTGACTGCAGGCTTGTCCCTAAAGTGTAACTCTGATGACAGCCCTGCAGAGGGAGGCTCTTAAAGCTGCTGCCTTCAAGCTACAGCTTCTCCCTTAGTCACATTAACTGTGATGTACGAAATACTGGCATATGGTTCCAGATCACTGAACACTTCCACTGCATTCCAAGCAGATAAAACAAGCTGCCAGGGTGATATATCTGACCGTTGTAACTGGGAGCTGCCCCACTCCTTCAGCTGCCATTAAGGACCAAGGTGTGGAGAGGCAGAGCAGCCTGGTTAGCCCCCACCACAGCATCAGCAATAGAGAGCAGCGTGTGCTCTGTACATTCTGACAAGGCACGAGAGACCTGGTCTGTACTTTGTGATCTTGTCAGTATGTCCTAGAGCCAGCACTTTTGAAGCAAGTCTTACTGTTCTACTTATGTAGAGTTAAAGGAGTTTTTTGGAAAGTTAAAGAGGTTATTTAAAAGAAATCTGTTTTATTAAAATCAGTTTGAAACAAACTTTGTTCCTGAGAGTCTTCACTATGAGAACAGATTGGATTAAGCCTTGTAGTATTAACAAAGGACCAAGGTGCATGTTTTTGCCTAGTTTAGGACTTGTCCAAGACTGCTTGTCCAACAGTGTGTCTTAGAAAGAAAAGTGTTCTGAGAAGCAGAATTCAGCAGAGTCTCCCAAGAGATAAACATTTTCTCTGCCTGGAAAGGAAATGAGAGGAACTACAAAGAATTCTTAAGTCTGCATCCATCACTCCGTGCAGTTTGTGCCCTATGGAAATCCCATTACCATCTTCTTTCAGGTTCAACAATCCAAGCCTCAGTCTTTCCACGTAACTGCTGTATCCCAACTGTACAAGTAATAAGCAACACTATCCTGTATTAGACACGCTAAAGCCAGGCTTATTTATTCTTAAAATAAAAACAGCGGTAAAGTTGAAGGTTTTGCTCTATTAAAAGACTCAGAAAATAAACATTTCCAGCAAATATCATATGTAAAGGGCTCTCCTTTAAGGCCACTCTATCTGGGTTTGCGCCTGGAAGAGCGTCTGCACCCAGCAGAGGCGAGACCGGCTGTCTCACCTTTGGCGAGGGAGGAAGGCTCTGCTGCTGCCTCCTGCTGTCCTAAGCCGCCTCCACTCCCTGGATCCTGGTGGTCATCTGTGCCTGCCCTCTGCCTGGCTGTGTTGGCTTCTTCCTCACGTCCCAGTGACTCCCCTACGGTGTGGCTCTCCTCAGAGAACAGGCAGTCGGCACTAGTGGCAGTGGACTTGTTCTGTTCCTGTAGATTTTCTTCTTCTACAACCATGATACCACACACATCATCAGTCACACTGGCCAGGCTCTTGCCCTCTGGCCTAGAGGTGGCCAGCTCACCCTTACCCTCCAGAGACCTTGAAGTTTGTTCTTGCAGGGCTGACAGCTCTGTGCCCTCCTTATCTATCCCAGGATCATCATTCATCTTCTTGCTGGTATGTGCTGTTGTAGCAAGAGGCTGTTTTGGATCATCCAGCAATTGGGAGCTGGAGCCCTGGGAATGCAAAGGAGCCTCGGGGTAGGCAGTTGTGGCACGATGCCTTGCTGCCTTGTATCTCTGCAAATACAAACAAAGCAGTGTGAGAGAGAAGCCCAGCTCAGCTCCTGTCACTGCAGCAAAGCAGCAGCTGGTCCAGGAACACCTGTACAAAACCAGTGGTGAGTGGCAGGGGCAGAAGTGATCTCAGCAGCTCCTGGCCTGGCTGCTGAGGCTCTCAACAGAGAAGGGTCAGCTCCTGTGAGGAAAAGTTATATTAAAAACTGAAGTCCCTCTCACATTACTTAATGCTGAGCGAGTGCATGGCAGACCTGTGGTTCCTGAGACAGAAATAATGACCTGGCAACTGTTAATCTCAGTCACACTCAGGACTCTGTAGATGTAACAATGCAAGTGACAGCTACTGGCAGGACACATACCCTGGGCATGTGAGGCTCTGCAGAGTCCTCAGCTACTGGTGTGATTTAATGTTTATCAGCCAAAGCAAGGCTTAAGCTGAAAGCTTGGTAGTTCTTCACTCTTTTGATACAATCTGCATGGTCAGTGGAACTCTTAACAGGAAGGCTATGATATCATATCCATTATATCTCATTACAAGTCACTGGGGTTTTCCACAGAGTAAAGGTAAGCATATCATCAGTAAAATGACTCATTTGCACTCACTATCATGATGAATCAGTAGGGGTCTGTAAAGAGATTAAAATGGCTACTATGCATGTTCCAGACTGGATTTCAGGAAACAACTCACTGCAGCTAGCTAGCACATAGCAGGAACCCAGTCTTCAATGCCCAGACAGATCATGACCTAAAGTTCCCTTCATAATAAACTCCCTTTCTGCTGCCTGCTGGAGGGTTCCTTGAACTGGCACTAGCATTACACCTGACAATTTAAGGAAACAATTTCGAGCACAATGCCTTTCACCAGTCTGAAATGTGAAATTACAGCACATCTGACAGGGCAGCTTTACATTGTAATTCAGTTAATCACTGCAGGCTTGTTCTTCCTCTGATCTCAAATTGTGGGATATGAACAGTATCACATCACATTGGAACTGGATCAGTCGAGTCATACTGTACCCAAACCTAAGCAGGTGCAGGCATGCAAACTGGTGTCCAGAGTGATGCTGTAAATTGTCTCAACAGCACACAATTCTCTGCTTTGAAACACTCTGCTGAGAATACCACAGCAACTGGCAGTGATTTAACTCAGATTGTGACAACCCCAAGGCACCCAGGCAGCCAAGAATAATAGTTATCTGCCTGCAGACATGTAAGTCTGGACTCTTCTCATGAACTCCCCAGGTCATTCTGGCATGCATTTGAAGAGCATCTGATTTCAGCTCTAAGTGGGCCAAAAGAGTGACATAAGTGACTGCTGATGCAGTTTCACTCTATGGTGATCTAAAACAAGCCAGGAAAGCAGCAAATCCAATTCCTTCATTCCTGAAATGACTAGCTGCAGGAGTGGGAGAGGATGAGCAACCATGAAGGAACAGCTGTGGTCCCCTCCCCTTCCAAATCCACTGCTCTGAATGCTGGCAGAATTCTAAAGCACTCCACGCCTTCCTGGAGGCAGTGATAGCTGACTGGGAATAGTTTCTTCTGTCTGAGGACTAGAAAAAAACCATGAGGTTTTGGGGGGTTAGGGGTGTGTATGTGCGTTTGGGTTTTTTTAAAAACATTATTTAAAAAGGGGGTAGGGAAGCACAGCAGTTTTTGAGACTAGATTGTGGGTGCAGGCAGAGGGCCAAGTCGATGTGGGAGCCTCCCTCTTTGCCAAGGACAGGGAATAGTGCTCTCCCATACAGGAGGGCCCAGGCAGTTGTCATGGGATAGGGCAGAAACAGTGCAAGTCCTGTGTACCCTCCACAAGCACTAATCCAGGCCCCTTACCCCCTGGCAAGTCAACAAGGACAGAACAATGGAGGCAGATTCCAGGCCAGCCCAGTAGGAAAAGCTTTAGATATGAAAGCAGCAAGGGGCAATACGGCTTCTTTAGGTGGAGCCAGAAAAGCAAAGGAACAGCATCAGTTTGCAGAGCTTTGTGCTAAGGAGTTTCTAGGAAAGGGTAGCAGACAGAGAGAGACAGACAGACAGACAGACTTCCTCTTGCAGGCTGACCCTGGGGACAAACGGAGTCTCACCAGCTTGTAGATTCTATCACATAAAGAGGTTGTAATGTTAAATTTTCAGGTTTCTAAGGTATCTGATATCCAGGCCTCTTCCTGGATGAATCGCGCCCACACTTTCGGCTAAAGGAGCTGTTCTTGCAGTATCACACCTGGAGATGCATATACACCAGCTTTCTTTACATGGAACAGCCTCTCTCTCCTGCTCAATCCCACCTTGACCAACTTGTAATCTAACAGAGAAGAGGCCTAGACTAAATGACAGACTCCACAGGTTCAGCAAACAGAGCGGACACTCTGAGGAAGATTCCCAGCCAGAAACAGGCAAAAAGATGACAGCAGCAGTAGCTGGGAAGCAGGACTTGACTGGTTTTAGATCTACAAGGGCCAAGGGAGACAAAGACAGAGCACACCAGGAGAAAGCTACAGCATAATGGACACCAAGGATGATGGAAATGAGCTGGAGACAAGACAGCTGATGTGGTGGATTCACTGGAGAGACACGCATGGGGGTAACAAATGCCAGGCCATGCAATCGCCAAAGGGTCTAACCTGAAAGTTCTCAAAATGCATCAGGGACTTGCAGTGTGCGAGCCGGGCAGCGGAGTCGCTATGGTAGAATTTGTGACACAGCCTGCAGAGGTAACCTGCGACGGGGACCAGAAAATCCAGGCCTGCGAAACGGGAGGGGAAGGGAAATCACAGATCACATTGAACGGAACTCAAATAATGAAAGCATGTTAAAAGAGAAGGGGGATGGGAGTAAAGAAGGAGAGGTGGAAAAGCTTTGCTTCTGTTAATCAGGGATTTGCAAGATGACTTGCTGAATATCTCGTCTTACCATGGAATGGCTGTGGTTGATATTCAGAGAGAAATCTGGCTGCCAGAGCAAAGAAACTACACAGAGCGTTAAGGGGGGAAAAAGGGAGAAAAGAATACAATGGAAAACTACAGAGAACATGTGATCTAATGTAATGGGATCAAACCAAGCAGAAGACAGCAGGCGCGCAAGAGGAACACGCAGAGAACATTCACAGCATGAATCATTATTCCATCTGCCACACGATAGTGGAAGGTTACAGCGATATGGAAGATTCGTGTAAACAGAGCTCTCCTTGGGCACAAAACAGCCTCTGCAGAGCTGCCCTCCTCAAACACGAGTGGCCGTTAGGGGTTTGAAGTCAGTCGCTTACAGGGTGGGGACCAGACACAGCCATCTGGAGGAACCACTGCCCACCAGGCCAGCAGCACGGCTGAGGAACTGCTCGGTACAGCGTGGGGGTTCTGAAGCGGAGGAAACATGCACAGTTTGGGTCTAGCAGTTTGATACTGTCAGTGATGCTCAGTATCTCTCTGCAAGCTGCATTTCTGTTTGAAAGCATTCCAATCAATATGCTTTCCGACTCCATCTTTCCAGAGCATCCCTCATTTGCTACCTACTTTCTTCAGTACTCCTGCCCTGCTTGTTCCATGTCCTACCTTAGAAATGTGTTTGGCTATCATCCTTCTTCAAAGCAAAAGGCAGTTGACAAACATCAATCACATCCTCATGTTTTATCACACAGTAATAAAGAAATATCCTGCTTTCAGGAGAGGTTCTTCTCCAGGCAGCAGTGATCTGCACCAGTCCAATGCAGATGCTGGAGCACCACAGCCCAAGAAGTCATTATAACAGTAGGTAGAGACCATCCTCTCCTACAGATAGAGCATGTGGCTAGAGAAGGCTCTGTGGCCCTTTGTGCTTAACTCTGCTTGCTTACCATAGGCTGTGTCTGGACAATACTTCTCACTTCCTTCGTAATCCTCCAAAGACACTTCCTTCAGCCCAGTCTGGAAACCGAAAG